GCCGAAAAACAGTATAATACATGTATGTACATGAACATCATATTGGCAACAAAATATTTTCAAACATGCGTGTGAGAAGGCCAATACAATTAAATGTTTTTCTCTAGATGGCAATTGCGCTAACTTTTCAAATTGTAGATGTGATAGATAAACATCAGTAATGGTTAATGAAAAGTTTACAAATTAAATATTTTAAATAAATTCCACTTACATCACTCACGTATGTTATTTGTGCATCACTAATAATACGATCAGACTCGCATATGCATTAACTGTAATTGGGACTCCCTTGTCGTGTAATGTAAACAGTTACCGTCGCTTTTGTTGTAACAGCAGGCCTTTAATTACTGTTAAAACAGGACATTCTTTAAGTTGCTAATAGTTTTCACCTATGACAGTTCATTTGAAAAGTTTTGTCTCAACAACCTGTATCGTAGAGCCGTTTTCGTACCTATCTATCATTGGGGGACCATCAGGTGGATCTTTTATGATTAAAAATTTATGCAACAGTGCAAACTAATTATTATACGTAGAACACTAATTTTCTTCGTTTTAATTGATAGGTAAAACCACAAATTTAAAACCAAAAGAAGTTTTATTTCGTCTAGTGCACTTTATTACAATATTGGCATTTTACTTTTTCGCAAAGCCTTGCCCTTGAAGAATTTGAGAACCAACAAAATACCCATGCCTAAAGTATTTGAAATCATTGTTAGTAGCAAATGTTTTGAAAGTTTATAGCCTGTAATATTAGACACAAACAATAATAAATGTTGAAAGTTGAAATCAGAGCCGTCATTAAGTACTTCGTAAGAAGTGGATGTCCCCCAAGGAAATCCAAGAAGACTTCATTGATACACTTGGGAAGGAGTCCCTTCCTATAGCACTGTGAAAAAAATGGGCTGTTAAATTTAAAAGGGACAGGGAGAGCATTGAATATGATGAGCGGCCTGGGCGGCAAAAAGAGGCCAAGAACCATAAAACTGCCGAAACTGTGCACGATCTGGCCATGTGCGACAGAAGGCAAGACCTGCTACAAATGTAAGCATGGCTAGGAAAGTGGGTATAAGCTTAGGTTCAGTTCAGGCAATTCTGACTGATGTCTATGACGAATTGAGAAGTCTGCATCAAGAAATCGCGCTTAAAAGGAGGGGCAAACTGACTCAATATTTACACATCCCAAGTTGCGATGGCTGCTGCAACTGAGTGCGGCTTTGAGAATCTTTCACATCCCCCATATTCTCCGGACTTGACCCCCGTCTGACTTCTACCTGTTTCCGAAACAGAAAACCAAGCTTCGTGATGGAAGCAATGAAGGTGTCATGAAGGCGGTCATTAAGTTCTTTGAAGACCAAAATAGAGAGTTCTATGTTGAAGGGTTAAACAAGTTAGAACACAGGTTGGCAAAGTGCATTGATAAAGAGGGCGATTATATTGAAAAGTAAGACCATTAATTGAGTTCTTTGACTAACGTAAGTACTTCGGGTCGAGAACTGTTTGATAAATCGTATTTTGAATTTGAAAATTATATTATCCAGATTTGGTCATGGTTTTTAGATTATACTGCTATTATTGGTAGCCAAAACATACCATTTACTGACTCACCTTACTACTTCGTTAACATTTAAGTCCTAATTGATCTGAAATTTCATTCAATACACTTATAATCAGGGCTTATTTGTAAATCTCTCACTTGTCATCATGAAAAGAATTTCAAAATAGAACAGGAGTAATCTTTAAATCAAGTAATAAGGTTTACAAAGTCAAGAAATAAGGACCTTTAGATTTGTTTTAGTCGTTTTTGTGCTACTGTTTAGTGAAGCCGTGTTGAAATAACATGAATATATGTAACTACAAAACTCTAACCATCCTTGCATCTATGTATTAATTTATATATGTACTATTTTCATCGAAGTAAATTATTTCATGCATTAATGAGTAATTTGGAACCTCTATTTAACTTCCTTGAAACTTTAAATAACTTCATTGATATTTGTTTTATACCGATTGTTCTATTCATGATCAGGAAATTTAATGATATTTTTACTTTACACACATGTTGCACCCCAGTTGCTGATTATATCTGTATGTATCAATATATAAAAATTTGTCGCAGATGTGAACAATTTCAGTGATTTTTGATGTCTTTAATCGCCTTTTTAAAAATATTTTATTGGAACTGATTGTGACACAAGTGAGTAAATAAATAGTTTGAGTGTATAAAAATGCAGAAAATTAATGCTCTTTTGGGTTAATTTATGTAATAAATTATTATCAAACTTTTATAATTAATGAATTTCTTAAAATGACTTGCCAAGTTTAATCAACATATTGTTAAAATTCGTCGGTTTTGAACCTCCTTATTTCAAAACCATTATTTAACATGAATTTTACCATGATGACGTTTAATGTAAAAAAAACTATTTTTTCCATATATTTTTGTTATATAAAGTTTACAATTATGTACTTTTACTTTTACTTTTACTTTTTTGACATTGACAGGTTGTACAAAACATAATGTGGCGAGCACTTTTACTTTTTGGGGGAGCTAACTGTAAGTTTTGTTAATTTGCATTTAAACCAGCATGCCTCCACATTCATGCCAGTATTCATTAAAAATGTAATCTTTTTAAAAGTAAATCCTGTGGAGGGAACAAATTAAGTAATTTACTAATTGCAAACGTCAATTACGATGATCGAAAATTACCAAAAAAGAGGTAAAATGTGCAGCAAAAATAGCAGTTTTTGCGTTAGTTAGTCATGCAGCAGAAATATGGTAATAAATACTGCAAAATCAGCCATTAATCGCTTAAAAAATGTAAACATTAATTTGAATCTTGAATCCCTTTACTTTTCCAAAATCTTAGTATATTTTTCTTAAGTTTGATTGTCTTAAAATAATCGTATTTTGGCTCATCTGAATGCATGCAGCTTTAATACTTATTGAAACACGTGAACGTTACACTTTCAAAAGACGTTATCAAGTTTGAATGAAGAATTTAGATCGTAAATAATTCAAACAATTATAATGACTACACTTTTACAAATTTTAAATAGCTAATACGTTTATTATCTCTTTTGTAATACCGGCAATAAGAAGCCCTGCGTATTTGTACCTTTTATGAGACAATTATTTATTTAATATATATAAAAGAAGATAATTTGTTGATTTATTAAACGTCATAAGACCCATCGAAGTGTAAATGTCGAATACACAGTAAAAATAAAAATAATTTGATAATTTCTACTATGCAAAATAATTAATAACCAACGTGACTCTTTAAAAATCTATTTTTGAAAATGTATTTGTAACGTGGATGTTGTTTGTAAGTTTTTGCCTTTTTTTCTGCTATCTTTTACAATGTAATCTTATAACATGTCATTAAAAAGGCCGCTTTTTGAATCCGTAGAATGCATGGTAAATTTGATTTAATGATTAAAATCCGGGGAAGGGTTAAATTACATTATATAGATTATTGGTTATTTTCGTCTTATTCTACTCTTAAAAGTTGTACGTAATAATTATGATTAAATAAGTAATGACCTTATGTACATTATTGTTTAAAAACATTAACTTAAAGTGGTTTCAAAAATTTGTTGAATCAGATTGTTCAATTTCTGTTAATAAATTAGTTATGTCTTCTGACAATTTTTATTTGGATAAATTGACTTCCTATTTAATTAAACATTGTATATATGATCTAGAAATGATTTTAGTCGCAAAGTGCAGTTACACTTAATAAATTTGTAAGAATATACAAAAAAATGTTTTTAATCTCTGTTACAGATATTGTATCAGAAAACCCAATTATTTCGCCAGCTTTCAATGATGTATTAGTAAACAGCAGTCTGGAACTGACATGCTATACAAACGAAAACGTAAATATTACACAATGGGGAAGTTTAAATCACCTTGACACATTTTCACACCTATATCTTTCGGACAATGGAAGCTGTATAACAAATGGGTTCCTAGATGACAATCGATATTTTGAAACCAGTTGCTATAATAACGGTACCTTCAAAATAAATATAAAACGTGTGAATATAAGTAACCATGGTCAGGAATGGTATTGTTATGACGACAATAGAGAAAGTAATATTGCTAATATTACTGTTCGAGGTAAGAATGTATATGATTTTAGTATATTGTACAGCAGATTAAAAGTGATGACGGTCTAGATAAATGAATGAAATTTCATTGAAATTCATTGTCAGGCTAATATCAATAAAAGTCATTTTATTAACTGTGTGATAAATTTCTCTTTTTAAAATATGCATTATGAATAAAAAGTTAACAATTTGTAGGACAATGACCGAATTTGGTGTTTTTTACTTGCAAAATACCAATTTCGGCTAAACATGAACACATAATTAATGCAGACTCGGTTTAGTTGAGTCTGTTTGTTTGTTTTGGTTTTTTACGTCACATCGACACAGTTTAGGTCATATCGCGACGTTCTAGCTTTACTGGTGGAGAAAGAACTCAGGTGCCCTTCCGTGCATTATTTCAGGCACGAACGGGCACCTGAGTAGAACCACCGACGTTCCGTAAGCTAGCTGGATAGCTTCCTCACATGAAAGAATCCAAAGTCCCTGTCGGGATTCGAACCCACAGCGGTGACGGGCAAGTGGTTTTAAGTCAACGATCTTAACCACTCGGCCACGGACGCCCCAGTTGAGTCTGTAAATGAGGGATAATGAAAATATGCAACACCCCTCAAACCCCTAACACCGGTTTGAGCGAGCGGTACTCAATTTTTAACACGTACAAGTGCTGGAATTCAAAACCCCGAAAATCAAGAAAAATAAAACACTGTTGAAAGTGAAGAACGTTGCACATTTCACAGCTGTGAGGCGGCGTCTAATACCTGCTGTAAAGCCAGGATACATACATATTTGAAAAACCGCTAAAAGATTCTTGATCAATCGATTTTTTTTTTAAATTAAAAGATTTCAAATGTTTGAATTGACAATGTCATACTACATTGTATATATATATGTTTGCAGTTCCTGCCACGGAAGTTATCTTTGACTTTCATTCAAATAAAAGTATTTACATAAACGAAAGTCAAATTCAAACTTTTAGTTGCAAAACCTCGGCGTGTTTACCAAAACCAGTAGTTAAATGGTACTTATGGAATCCCATCAACAAGATAACCTACGATATAACAAACCATTCGACTGTATCATATATTCCAAAAGAAAACTGGCTGACAATAGCTGAGAGTTTTCTTCAGATTCTTCCGAACAGGACACTAGACCGCTGGCATCTTTATTGCACAGTATTGACACAAGTGATAGCAGCAGATATTTTCAGCGAAGAATTTGTACTGAACGTGGCATGTACGTATTTGTACCATATATTTCGAAAGTTACATTTATTTTCCTTTGTTCATACCAAAATATAAGATTGATTATTTTTTTCTGTCTAAAATGAAGACTTTATACTTTTAAAACATTTGAAAATGTACTTACTATGAATTAGATAATTTCATAGGCTCGCAATTTTATAGAGTCAAAGGACATTTTTGTTGGTTCTTAAGTTCGAAAACTACCTGCCTTAGCAAAAAAGTAAAATGCAAATATTGTAATAAAATAATTGTACACCAGAAGATGTGATCTTAAATTCTTGGTTTGGCCTTTCAACGAAAACGACGCAAACAAGTGTCCCACAAAAAATAATGAATTTTGCTCTATTGCGTTTTTGTCATTTAAGATCCACCAGATGATCCCCCAATAATAGCTAGCTACAGCAACGGCTCTACGATACAGGTTGTCGAGACAGCATCGCTTAAATTGAACTGTTCTGTAACTGGCGGAAAACCATTAGCAACCTTAAGAATGACATGTTTAAACAGTAATGCATCACCAACTGTTACCAAAAAAACGACGGTGACTGTGTACATTGAACTACAAGTCAATCGCAATCATAGTCAATGCATATGCGAGTCTGACCATATCATTAGTGGTACACAAAAACTATACGTCCGGCTTGATGTGCTGTGTGAGTGGGATTCCATTAAATATTTTGATTTTTAAATTTGCCAAGAACCTGATTATTTATCTTTCATACCCACGATTTGTTAAATCTTTGAAATTACCTGTAAGAGAGAATAATTTTATTGTATTTACCTTCTCAGATGCATGTTCAAAAATATTTTGCTGCTAAAGTTATTCTTATGTTAATATTAAGCTGCTTTTTTTTACATTAATTTTATTAAGATAAGTGTGAACACTGCAGAAAGCCAACCAATAAAGTTGAGCTCATTTATACATCAGATGATATCGAGCGCCTAGGAGTATTTGGACTCGCAACGGAAATAGAATAAAGACTTCAAGTACAGAAGTGTCAAAAGTTACAAGATACAGATACTCCTTTTAGATATATCTCCATGTCACGGTCCAAATGCTATGTACGAAAAATTATATTATATTTGATAGGCATTGCTTCCAATACTTTCCTTCAAAGCAAATCTAACTCAGATTAAAATACTCGCCCAACTAAATATATGACACTTCTTTCAGTTCAACCGCGTGAAGTTCGCTTCAACTTCGGAAAAGTGGCAGGAGAGAGATTTACTGTAAACCAAAATGAAGATGTGACTTTTCAATGCTTCGCGGAGTCTAATCCTCATCCAGACATTGTAATTAGAAATCAAAAAGATGAGGAAATCATAGTGATGAAAAATACAAGTTCTATTCACCACATTATTCATAGGGTATCTTGCTCTGATGCAGGAGAGTATGTATGCTCTGCTAAAAATATGTTAACAAATGGAGAAGGAGCACTATCCAAACTCGTCCTGATCGTGAGATGTTAGTTTTAAAACTCCTGTTTTGTCTGCTATTAATCTTTCTTTCTGTAAATATATTAATCTTCGCGTATGTCATTTGCATATCGAAATAATCTATAGGAAGCGTTGATCTGAAATAGGACCATAAACCGTAACATAACATTATAGCTTTGAAAATATTATCGATTACTGTTGAGTTACATTGTACTTACTAGTATTAATTAATTTACTGATCATATTTACTTCACAGTAAAGAAGCATTGAACGCCAAGTTAAGTTTACAAGAGGAATTTATGAGTTTTAGACGGAACTTTGCAATTAAAAAATCTATATTGTTGATTATATTTAAAGGTCCTCCATGTCCGTCACCTGATACATTAAAAGTGACGAATATAACTGCTCTGCTGCATTGTGACGTCACGTTGCAATTTTTCGCTCAAAACTTTTTTGACGAGCACAACAAAACAGTATTCGCATGGTATAAACAGAACTTGTCGTTACAAAATGACAAGAAGTATATTATATCATCTTATGGATTAAAGTCTAACTTGATCGTCAGAAACATTACCTACTCAGATTATGGACAGTACCGAGTAACTGTCGGGAATTCATTTGGACAGTGTGCACACTATTATGAATTGCAGGACAACGGTAAAAACTAGTTAATGTTAAAATTCTACAAACATCAATATTTATTTCATTAGTTAACTTTTTTGATAAATTACCCAAAAATAAAAATGTTTTAAGGCCATTAACACAACAATGCTTTAATTGTCATTTATCAAAAGTCTTTATTCAATGTTATGCTAATGTTTCTGTAACGGTATTTTTTTGGCATAATGGTGTATTAGCATTTGTTTTCTTGGATGACTGGCCATTATCAATGTTATAATTGATTAAATAGTTTGTAATGAAGATAAAGTTTTTCTCTGCGTGATCTAGCAGTTTACGTGTTCTCAATCCATTACGGAAATATTATAAAACATATATTTGCATTTTTATACAGATAATAAATTTTTATACTTACTAAACTCCAAAATATGTATATAACTTAAACTTTTATTTACTTTATAATTTAAATACTATCATTTATTGACGGGTTTCTTATTAAAGGTAATAACATTATTGCTCTTCATGAATGTGCAAATATAAAAAATAATAATTTACCAATGCAAAATTGGAAAATAACATAATCGTGTTTGTAATTAATGAAGTTTTATATTTCTTTATTAAATTCAGCTCCTCAACAGTCAACTGAGCCTTTTACAGCCTCGACACTATTTAGGGTCGCAGTTGGTATATCTAGTTTTACAGTTTTAGTGATTATAATGGAATTATTCTTTTGGATATATACCAGGTAATGAAAATGACACCAAAGAAAAAACAAATAAAATAACGTCAAACAAAAACAAACAAACAAACACAAAAAACAAGAAAACAATTAAACAAACAATTAAAAACACACAAAAAACAAGAAAACAATCAAACAAACAATTAACAACAACAATAACAAACAAAAAAGCAAACATTCTAACAACAACAACAAAAACCCCATAAAAGTCCTCCCGAAAACATAATAACAAAAAAAACCAGACGCACCACGCACGCACGCGCGCACACACACGCACCAACACACGCAAAAGCACGCGATCACGCACACACGCACTCATACTCTCACACACAAAGACACACAAAAAACAAATAAATATAAAAAGAAGCCACTGTTTCATGTCTTGATCCGCATAAAATAATTGCGTAATTCAACCACAGTATATTTTACCTCGTTCAAAATGTTGATAACCATTCAAGCTTATCAAATAATTTGCGATAATTATATAAAGAACATGACGATGAAATATATGCAGTTTTTAAATCGCTGTTTCTATATCACTACTTATCTTTCATTTCAGACGTAAACAAACACAGTAGACAAGAGACAGAAAGACAGCTGGTATGCAGTTTAAACGCATGCTTTAATCTGCACTTCTATTATTAGACACAATGAAATAAGATTATACAACCATTTAGAAATACCATAAAAAGCTAGCTTAGTAATGATAAAAAGTTAATAAAATAAAAACAATAAACTTTTGACATTAACCGAATATCCTCTCGGGAATAAACATGCTAACTAAAGACTTTTAAGCATATCCTGATATTTTCACTCTATCAGAGTTTAATCTTACATTAAATCTTTATGAAGTGTATAGTAAGGATAAGTAAGTGTTATTATTCAAAATGTATTCACGTTTGATTACTTTACAGATCATAGCGGGACGTGATATTTGAATGCTACAGTGCAGTAAATCTATTTCGATTTCAATGCTTTTTTAAATTGTTCTTTAAATTTTTTGTTCTAGAGGTTATCACTGAATATCAGGCTACTTCTGGGCATAATGACAATGGTGCAGATAATGTGTATGAACAAATTGATGAGCAAGTACTGCAAGAGGTGCATACATTGAGATGCAAGGAATCAAAACGGATAAGGATACAAACTGTGAATATATAGAGATGAATATACAAACCTAATGACAAAATATGGATACTAACCAAATTCGTTTTTGTTTCAAAACTTAGTTTATTTGTTTTCACGTTTAGTTCATAATATATACTATTATATATATATATAAATCTGTAAATTTTCACTTATTGTTCATGATATATTTAACAGAGATTCCCATGAATGTTCTGTCCAGATTATACAGTTAACTAAATCCCACATGTTTACATTCTCATATGAACTGTTGTTTATTTTAAACTGTAAATACTTAGTTATAAGGTTGAATTAGCTGATCGTTATAACCATTTTCATTAGTGGATTTTAATTCGGCGATAAACAACTTTCTATTGCTCGCTTATAACTTAAGCAGTAAACATTTTTGTCTTTTTAAACTCTAAAGTTTTAGTTTAATCTGTATTTGGTTCACATGTTGAGATTCTAATTTGACCTCCTATCCCTCCTTATTTTGTGTGTTATTAGTATATCTAAAAGTACATTCTAACACGACCCGCATTTTGCACTATTAAATATAGAAGAATAGAAAGTGTGTGTTATTATGCAACAGAGTCACAGTTGACGTTCTATATTTAGATATGTGACGGGATTATGATACTTGTGACGTAATCAGTAAAAGAATCCGACGCGCTTAAAATAAGTACGGAAACAAATCAGACGCAAATTTTGCTTAATATCAGGTACGGAAGAATTTATTTGTTGATGTCGTGTTAGAATCGAAATAATATATCCAAATTGGTGATTTTATCGCTTGATTACATCACTGTTTGTCGTTCGGATGCGCATCATTATATCACTCGGGCTACGCCCTCGTGATATACTTCCGCGCATCCGAACTCCAAACAGTGATATTATTGAGCGATAAAATCACTGTTTGGGATATATTATTTCTTAAATAATGTATTCATATAGGTTGGTTATATAACCTTAATGTTTGAATATTTGCTTGATGATGAATATTACTACTGTAGTAATTATTGTGCTAGTATATGGATAGACAAAACTTTTTTGATTCTGTTTGTTGATGATACAAATTGTCATATTTGTATTTGAAAAAATAGTGTGTTTAATATATGAATATGATACATGTAATCTCAAGTTTACCTATCTATATATCAAGATCTAAAAGATCTAAATTTCTCTTGTCTTCTCATTCAAATGAAAACTTATAATTCACATTTGTGAATCACATGGGCTCTCTTGGATAACAATTCAGAAAAATATTAAAGAATGTCATAGCTTCACTAGTCATTATTCTATTTTTTTTCCAGTTTCCAAAATGTCCCTCCAAATGCGTTTTCTTCTCTATCAATGTTTGACAATATATGCTATTTTACCTAGTATATCTGATAACGCAGGAATGTGCGAGTTCGACTTCCGGAAGATGCAGGTTCCCGTCGTTGTGATTGACCATTGAATCCTTTCTAAGGTCTTTCGCGTTGAACCTCTGATCTGGCATGTTAGGACGTTATCAGTTCCTTGAAAAAGTGAAAGCAATTAGTACAGGTACAGCACAGCAGCAATCTATCATAACTGGCACCTGTAATACGGTGTGTAATACAAGCGATGAAATCTTGAATAATACCTGGAACACCAGCATAAACTGCATATTGACATGAATTGACAGGAAATAAGTTTTAAATTAGAAATAATTTTTTTAAAAGAATTGTAGTCTCAAGTACAAGTCTTGTTATTTCCATTGACGTTTTTAACAAAAGTCCTTTTTCATTATCAATTATTGGTCAATTTTCATTTTATTAGCGAATCTCTTGAAACATATATAAATCTAATTCAGCCCAACTTGACAGCAACAAAATGAACACCAAAAGTCACAATCATTGAAATACCTTAAATTCATTAAAATATATAGTAAATCAGAATTGTTAGCTTAATAGAGATTATGGTATGTTGACCACGATTATCATCTGCACCTAAATCACAGCGCCAAATTTATTAAAAACTGAAATAAGGTCGTTAAACAGGGTTTAGTCTGTATTTTGGTCCAAAAGATAAATGACCTGAAATTGACATTTGCTTCTCCGAAATCACAAAGTTTTAGCAAAAAAGTATATTTTGTGTGTATCAGATATTCAAATCATGTTTTTGCTTGACTGGAAGATGAAAACTTTATTTGCGTTTAATAAAAAGGAACATTGAAGAACGCTAAAATGGCGACATTAAAAATGGCGAAGACTTTGTTTGATTTAGCCAGGTTATGGACGGTAGTGGTAAATGTTGTTACCGCCTTTGCCCCCTAACGCCGCTTTAAACAGAATTAATATTTCAACATGAAAATAGAGAAGTTTTGAACTAAAAAAACATAAATAAATAAAACATCCCGTATGTTTTTATGCTGCAATCCTCGCAGTTGAAATAAATAAATGGCTTTTATTTCGTTTGTTATCTTATAGATAAATTCACTTAACATGAACACGAATATATTTTAAAGATTATTTTATCGTTAAAAGAGCAGAGATAATAAATAAATGTTATTGAAATTAGATGGTTTGCTTGCAAGTTTCTATAGCTTCTATAAAGTACCAGTTAGCAACTGATGGCCAGAAAAAGGACAACTATGATCTCTTTATGCACCATAACTCATTAAAACAACATTTCTACTGCCTTTTATTACAAGGTTAAAGTCTTTCTATAGCTGTATAAAAATATCCGTCTGAAGACCTCAACAGACGGTAGGATTTAGATGTACAATATTAAAGAAAGATAAGATGCACAATTTTCAAAGCAAAACAGAACGTGCATTCAGACCGTAATCCAATACTGGAATGTTTGTAATTGTTTTAATTGTTGGAATTGGCCATTAAGGAGATCTTTTAAGAGGTAGAAAATAGGCTATATATAGCAAGGAGTGAGCATTTAGAAAATTATAACTTACTTCTGAAATAATGAAATAACTAAGTCTGTTCAGATCTTACGGTGAAGAATTGGTTTTTTTTTAAAATAAGAAATGATCACAGCAAGGAATTTCCTTCATTTTCTGAGTATTTTTGATTCAAGCGCCTATTCAAATTCTTTTTTCAATAGCCTCTTTTCTCCACTTTACGACTTTATTTACAATTTAGCCCTGAAAGTTTGAAATTTCATTCATTTCATATATAGATGATAATTTGGTAGTCTTTCACTTCGTGTTCGAGCTATGTACAACAGTACAGGTTCAATTCTGTGAATCAAGTTATAACGTTTACGAATTCAAGAATAAGTTGCTTTTAGACATAACAATTCACTTTACATCTATTAGTAAGTTTGTTGTGTACTACCGTCTGTTTTGGCCTTAACGGGTTTACTTAAGTACGATATGATACAAATATCTAAGCATCTTTTCATTTTTTAATATACATATATGTACTGTATTCATCTAAGTGAATCATTTCAAACATTAATAATAAAAAATCGGAAGCACAACTTAACTTCCTTTAAAACGTAATATAACTTCCTTGATATTTGTTACACAACTATTGTCTTATTAATGAATAGGAAATCAAATGACTTTTGAACTTAACTAAACAAAAGTTGCGTCTCAGTTGCTGATTGGTTGTATTTGTGTGTATCAATGAATAAACATGTTTTGTAGAGTTGAACAATAAAAGTAAATCTTGATGTCTTTAATCACCTTATTTAAAACATTTTTTTGGAACTGATTGAGAC